AGTGAAATAATAGGCAGAAGAGTTAAAAAGGAGTGACCGGAGAATCGAGCTGGGTTGGGAAGTAGTGACTGGAAGGTATCTATACTACCAGAGCCCAGCGCCAAGCGAAGTGCTCAGGGTCAGATCGATCCACTTTTTTCCGCGCCTGTTTTGCACCGGCCTGAGCTAGTTGGGTAAAATAATAGTCCTTTATATTATTTTCTGACGAGGCACAGGGGAAAGGAGGAGGCGGCGTTTGGAGGGAGGACAGGAAAAAAAAATAATAAAATGATAAATAAACGAAAACGAGAAAAAAATAATTATAAAATAGTAGTTTTTTTTTTATGTCTCTCTTTTGAAAATAAAATCGACCCAAGACAGGGGGACGGTCGAGCTTCAAGAGACTAATAATAAGAATGAGGCTAGCAATCAATACCGATTGAGGGATAAGGCAGCCGATAGTTCTTGTGAGAAAGCTGCTGCTGCTGCACGGAATGTGGATGCCAGTTTCAGAGTTGAATCTGGAGGATGTCAACCATGAAGAGATGGAGGGGGAGGGAAGGCGAGGATCAGTCCTTCATGTATGTAGGCCGGATTCCTCTGCGATGGAATGACGATGTTAATATCCTGGTCTCAGGTTGTGTGTAGAACGACGACATGCCATGACATGAGAGGTGGCCGATTCTTATGACTTGAACCTGTTGAGGGGGGAAAGTTGAGTGTGGTCTTGTCTTGTCTTGTCCTGTCTTGTCCTGTCCTGTTCTGCTCTGGTCGGGTTTGTCTCACAGGCTGGCCGTAATTTCAGTTCCGGGTCGTCTGGAGGTACCAGGGCATGCTGGAAGTTACCAGACGGTTACCGACACCATCCACTGGTGCGTTGAATGACCATTTCCTTTTCCTGCCTTGAGTTTCCTGCCCTCCCCGGTCGCATTATGGTTCTTCGGGGACCAGTAGAGTCGATCGATTAGAGATCGGTCGACAATAATGATGTGATCTTAATTCATTGTCTTTTTATTATAATTCTTTCTAATTTTGACTTTCAACTGTCCCGTCGGTCACTTTTCAGGCAATGCCAGTATCCTGCATAGATTACAAGCCACTACTTACGTATGTAGTGCTAGGGTTCTGGTTATATTCTTGCTCTGTTAAAAGTGCAGCTGCCACAGGACTGACTGACTGACCTAATTACTAGATAATCATCAACCTATAACATAACTGTACTTTTACTTACGCTTGCTTGCCTTCTACCTCACATGCAGGCCAGCGAGGCTTGGTTTGGCTGCGTCAACCACCCCTCGTCCGCATATCGTCGCTTTTTCTCCTCTCGTTGGTGCTTCGCTCCCAAAGCCGAGGGTCGTGTCGTCATGACTGATCCTGGTGGATGGAGTCGTCCGGGGCGATCGCCTGGACTGTTAGTGTTGGGTACTGGTTTCGATCTGCCATTCTCCTCTTCCCTCAGGAACACTCGTGGCCTTGCTGTACTTGTGGTTCGACAAATGAGAGCCCGAATGGCCGGTAATCGGCGTATCGGTTCGCCCTCGCTGGTCACCTCCACCACCTCCACCGTTCCGTTCCCACTATCTTTTGTGCCTTAGTCATGCTAAGTCAGTCCAACGCACGAGATATGGGGCTATTGGAATTTTTGCGAGGGCATATGAAAATGGTAAAAAATGAGAATGAGAATATTAAGTGGACCATTTCACCTTGGCGGAGCATGGGGTACCCTGGTGCCCTGGTGCCTTTTTTTTTTTTTTCTTGCCCTATTTCATCTCTTTCAGTGGCTGCCTGTCACTGCTGAACCCAACTATACCTCCATTGAACAAGTGTCGGTCCCAAACACGCTGCTGAGTGGGTGAACCATGATACTATTCTACGGGTCTCCCAGGCTGTCGGAAGTACGGCGCTACCAGGAATCTACCATGGTCATGTTTCCGGAATAGTTAGCCTCAGCTGCTCGATTGCAGTCTGCGATTGGTAGACCATGGATCGTAGCTATCATCATCATGATCTCTCCATGACAACCAGAACCCTGTCGATTATTCATCATTCAAAAAAGTTCCTTTCGGTCAAATTACCATCAAAGTATTCCGTACAAAGGTCAGGCATGAACCCATCATTTGCCAATATTACCTCAGCCTCGTGCAAAGACCTGCGGCTGTGTTGCATACCGTGACTCGCGAGGCGGTTACGGGCTCCACCCCGGGCGTTTCAGACTCTTCTGTCAGACATTGAAAGGATTCCCCCTCCAGTCACCATGCCATGTCCATCATTCCTCGCAGGTTTTATCGGGCAGTCGATCCATGCTGTCCGGTTTAAGGCATTTGGACAGTTTCATACCTCCTGATGCAATATCGGCGTAGGCATATACGGACCATAGGAATGTTCTACCGGCTCGGGCCTTTCCCAGCTGCCTAACTATCCAGTAGCACCACCATCCTGAGTTATCCATCCGGGCGCAGTGGACATTCTTTGATCGCCCGTCATTCGGCTTTCAACGGAACCCGTTTCCGTGCTCTCACACTGCGCCGTCGTTGTCGTTGCTGCACCCCGGGGGTTAGCGGATGGTCTGATCCATTTTTTCCCTCAGCAGGCTGTCTGCTGGACCAAAAATACCTGATTCATTTCGTATCTCGGGTTGCGCTTGGGAACACAGCCAAAGCCGGCTTGTCTTGGTAAGTGTGGCTAGCGAGCTAGCTGCAGTCGATTTCTTCTCCCTTCACAGTGGGGAAAAGGAAACCCAGCCGAAAACCCGAATCCCTACTCCCCGTTCTCCTACCCTGCCAATGCATTATTGGGGGAGGGGACGGAGAGAGCTACTAGTTGGCCTGAGATCCATGCCTGCGGTGTCGAGCACCGCAGATGCTTGACTCCTTTTTCCTTCGTGCGTGTGCATTCTGAGGGCCGTGAGATCCTTGAGGCATTTTTTGCTTATGTACGGGGTAGGATCCTTGTGCTATTTTTGTTGATCTCTCACTCTCTTGCTTCGTAGTGTCCGGTAATTCGCCGATCCGCGATGGCCCTGCAACTACAGACTAGATGCCTTCTCATCCCAGCATCACGGCTAATTGCCAAGAATGGAAATGATGACAGCTATGGACTTTAGGTCGGATGTTCATTTTGGTAACACCAACCACCAACCACCATCCCGGAATGCTTCGCTGTACCTAGCAATCCATACAGCACCCCATCTGTACTTCATTCCCCTCTTCAACCCCACTTTGAAAAAGGATAATGCTGGCTGCTGCTCCAGGTGCAGCAGTATAACCAGTAGCCACATCCTATAGTCTTCCTATTCTGCATACGGGGACTGGAACAGACAGGTCGTCTGGTGCAGAGGGAAGGATGCACGGCAGGTCCGTGTCACCTGATACGCCTTGCCCATGCATCTTTTTCTGTCAAACGGGCATAGCCACGAGTCATGGCCTATGGAAACTTTTGACGTACTCTTAAGACTGGGATCACGGCCTCAGAAAAGGAAGTAGACCTGCATACTTTACCGTGCGTAAAACCATCACCCCGGATCCATGCATTGGCCGTATGGAAACGATGTATGTATTGGGGTTGATACCATACTCATGATGGCTACGGGAGTTACGGAAGTCAGGCACATGTATTTTATTTTCTTTCTCAACAGTGCCGCTTTTTCCTTCTCGTCTCCATAGCGATTCAGAGGATGGCCTGCTTAACTTCCGGGCTTTTCCACAGCTCTTCAGGCTCTTACGGGGCAAAATAGGGTCATTGCGATATGATGGTACCGTCCTGCACCGATGCACTGATACCGCTAGTTTAGGACAGTCACCGGGTGCCAGCATTGCCTTATGGAGGTCATCCTACTGCTGGATTCTTCTCTGGCATCTGCAAGATGGTGTAATCGCGCGTGAGCATCCGGTCCGCACCCCGTTGGCGGTAATGCACGAGGACTAAAACGTCAGTGCCTACGACTTGTCCTATCTACTTTGTTGAGTGGTGGTGTTCAACCGCCGAGGGTTTAACACTGCCAATCATCATCGGTAATGCTTTAGTCACAGTGCAGCGGTAATTTTATGAATTAGTTAGCAGCATTCTGTACTAACTAGTGAGTTAGTAAGTGGATAGGTGAAGTTTCCCAGTTCCTCCCCTCTAGAGACAGCGAGACGTTACGGTGACATCATCTCACATGCATCGGTTTCTCTTTCGTGTTCCCTTCCCCTCCATTGAACGACCAGGAACCGACGAGGCATCAAAACAGGGAAATCTCGCAATTCACGAACAATGGTGTTGATTCAGTATTCCCGTCTCTTGAAAGCTTCCGAGGTGGGATGAGAGCATAAGACGAGCGAGAGAGAACCTCGCCGAATATCCGAGCCTGAGAAGTCAAGATAGGAACTTCCTCTTATCGAGCGGGTCGCAATCCATTGGATTCGTTCCTGCAAAAGAGCTCCCCTTTGGTTATGGCATCAACAACGACGTCATGGTTAGGGTCTGGGACTGCCAGATCTTCCATCCCGACTGACCATCGCGCAATTCTAGATGATCTAGTCCTACATACCGCACGGCCGTATCAACTGACAACCCAACATTGTAACCAGTGACTCGTCAATCCATGGGAAGCGACCGTCACTAGCGTCTTTCTGACGAAGATTGGGTGCCCCCCTCCCTCTCTTTCCCTTCTTTTCCCTATCTCCCAAGGAATAACGCTATCCACATCATGATGCTGTAAGAAAGAAAAAAACAATAATAATGATGATGGGGGTTTCCTGGACTGGCTTGTGGATGGCGCAGGAACGTGTTCCCAGATTGCGCCCGGATTGTGATTCGCTTTCGGCAGGTACGGAGTCTTTCCAGCGTCTCCTCTGCTGCCCCGCCACACCCCGCCTGAAGCTGTTGACCGAAAACCACCACCACCACCAACTAACTACAAACTACCAAGTAACCAGCGACCGAGAATACTACTCTTTCTTCTCTTCTTCCAACTCGTGAATTTTCCCATTTTACTTCTCTCCCCACTCCCCATCTCACCCGTGTCTTATCTAGCCGTAACAATGGCCGGATCTGCTCCCAACCTCTACAGTTTCTCCAACAACGACGCTTTGGCCCAGCAATTGAGGCCCTACGTCTTGCGGTGTCAGAACTCCGCCCTCAGCCGTCACAGCACATTCCGCGTCGCAGTCTCTGGTGGCTCCCTTCCGAAAGTCCTCGCCCAAGCCCTGCTGGCCCCTGGAAATGGCTCCCCCGAGGATACCGCTCAGTTCTCCAAGTGGGACATCTTTTTTGCCGATGAGCGCGCCGTGCCCCTCGATCACGAAGACAGCAACTACCGCCTGCTGAAGGAAGAGCTACTGAACAAGATCCCTGCGGAACTGGGTGCCCCGACCGTGCACACGATCGACGCCGATCACGTCAACGATGACGACCCGCAGGAGCTGGCGGATTTGTACCAGGAAGAGCTGATGCGCTCCTTTGCCGCCAAGGATAGCGTCAAGCTGCCCGTTTTCGATCTGATCCTACTGGGATGCGGCCCCGACGGCCACACTTGCAGTCTCTTCCCCGGACACGAATTGCTGCGGGAGAAGGATTCCTGGGTGGCTGCCATCAGCGACTCTCCTAAGCCGCCCCCGAAGCGCATTACTCTGACTTTGCCCGTGGTGACCCACGCCCTCAACGTCGCCTTTGTTGCTACTGGCGGTGGAAAGAAGGACATCATGAAGCAGATTTTCGACGCTGAGGAGGGGAGGGACCTACCCTCCGCTCTCGTTAACCAGGGTGGTGGCGAGAAGGTGAGCTGGTTCACCGATAATGCGGCTGTGGAGGGAGTCGCTTTCCCCCGACGTGGAAGCCTGTAAATTATGAGTGGGAATGGTACGAAATTGCTTTGATATGATGGCTGGGGTGAAGGATAAGAGGGAGACAGTCATGGCGAGGCTACGGAAGGATTCAACTAATCTCAAAATGGTCCCCCGAGCTTTACTATTATTCGACCACCTGTATTACCAGAGCAAGGGGGACGGCTTAGGACCACGTACGTTCAAGGCTGGATGAACTGTTCATTGTCTCTTATCTTCTAGCTGTTGGAGGGTTTCTTCTTAGACTTGCCAAAAGTTTGTGTTATCGTTATCCTTCTGATATCACAGACAGGTCCTAATTGAATGAATGAGGATGATTTTATAATCGTATTCGAGTTATCTGTCTCTATAATAGTACAGTGAAATGAAACTTCACCGATCCCCTGAGTATCCATGTAGACATGCATAGAGAATGAATGAATGATAGCTGTCCATGCAGATGGGCTCGATCCACCTGACACGGTGCCAAGCTTTGCCCTGGGGGAAAGCGGAACTTCACCGCAAGACGGGCAACCACGGACCTGCCGTCCTCAGCTGAGCTCAGGCCTCGTCTATTTACAACGACGGTTTCCGGGCAGCGTATCTATTCCCCCCGGTGAGGCCCCGTCTTGGACTGATCTAATTGCAATAAGTTGAATGTCACACATATGATTTGATCTTCAGCAATCATGCCAATTCCAACGCGTTCCCTTTCGCTTCGTGAGCCCCGCAAACAAGTTAGTGTCGCATCTGCTAGTAGCCCATTCCACCACCCCTTCCCCCTAGCGCCCATGAGAGCTACCCATCCCTCGCATGCTTTTTCTCTCCACCAACACTACTGACGTCTGTTATCATCAAAAAGAACTCTACTACAGTGCGCACAACGACGACGGGTAAGCCGGCATCAACGACCTCGACATCAGCAACCAGCACATCTTCCAGCGCTGCGACCAGCACCGAGAACCTCGTCACTCGGAGCAAGAGCCTCCTGCCTATTCGCGATGAGGGACGTGCGACAAGACCCTCTCGTTTACAACCACCGTCTGAGCCCCGCGTAGCCCAGCGCCCTAGCAAGCCTTCAGAAAAGGTCCCGCAATCGCAGCAGCCCGCTCAGGAGAATACCGGGATAACCCGTCGCCAAAGCCTGATCAGACCGAGCCCGCTGAAGCCTTCAGCACCTCTGAAGCCTACCTCTACCTCGTCCAGAAGGCCTACCGTTGCTCCGGGTCTGTCATCCCCGGTAAAACAAGAGATACCCTCAAGACAGAATGGACGACCTTTATCGCCGAAGAAAATCGAGACACCCGCAAGACAAAATGGACGGCCTTTGTCCCCGAAGAAAACTGATATGCCCCCGCCTCCGCGACTTGCCCGGTCGGCTTCTCTCAGACAACCTGCTGCCTCGAGTTCGAGCACACCATCCGTGACTAGAGGTCATGCGCGGCATCGCAGCCAAGGAATCGGGCTACCTTCGGGGCCTCAATCTCCGAGGAAAGTTGACCCTCCTTCGCCATTCCCTACTTCCGCCACTGTACGGTCACGGGCTCAGCTCTCGACCTACCAACAACCGCTCTCCCCAAAGAAAGCGGCTAAGCCAGCGTCTGCAACACAAGCGGCAGATTCGCCCGCCGTGGATACAGATTCGTCGTTGCTTCCTTCGTCTTGGCCGGAGATTGCGGCGCTACAAACAGAACTCTTACAATTGAGCTTGGTCCACTTGTCTTCATGCAAACAACACATTGAATGGGAGACTGCTGCTGAAGCACGACTACGGAGCGATCATAATGTAGTGGCAAGCGACTATCGGGCGGCTCTGGGCGATGAGAAGGAGTACCAGAGACAGCTCAACGGGCATGCGTTGCATCACTGGCTTGAGAACACGCGTGAGCGCAACGAGCAACGAGGGTTTGCAGAGCAGATACGGATACTTTCTCAGGTAGCAGAGGAAGTCTACAATCTCTCTGACAATTTGGAAGGACGGCACACAGTGGCTGTTCAGGATTTTGAAGCCTGGTTTCAAACAGTTGAGGAGATACGGACATTTCGTCTTCATCATGGTCGCAACTTGGACCAGGTGGTCTTTGTCGATCCCTTGAACCATGGTTGGCGGGACGAGACATCTGCTTTGGTCATGAAGCTTGAACTGTGCCTGAGACAACTGCAGAGCCTGGACATTCTTGGGTATGGAGATCCGGGCCCTTTAGGTGACTCCGCGCTGTTTCGGACAGCCAAGGGACTTGAGGAAATGGCCAGCATGATGGTTGAGGAATTGAACACGATCCGTAAGATTGAAAGCGACGTCGTAAAGTCAGAACGCGAGTGGGTTAGTCAGCTGGCCCGGCAATTGACTGCAAATCCGGCACATGATCGGAAGGTTCCAGCAGTTGGAAGGTGGAGACGGCCGTCGTTGAACTCGTGAGTTTCGCTGTACGCCGAAGAATTGCGGCGAAGGTCAAACTGGAAGAAACCTGTTATGGTCAACCTGTTCCGTTATCGAACTCCACCAAACCCTATCTTCCCCAGGGGTATAGTATGCAGTTTACTGCTTCTGCCGGATCTACTAGCGTAAGCGGAATCGAACCACGGGAGCGATTCGCAGGCACCGTCTGCATAGCCAGGCATGCATGTGTCATCCAAGGACCCAAAAACCGGTTCTCGCAGATGTCCTGTTTTCAACGAGAGAGCAAATCATTCGCCAGAATTCTGCGCTAGCCCTTCCTAGGCGGCTTCTGGCCAGCGGCCGGACAACATTCGGGGTGCTTAACGATACTACGGCCGGTTATCATAGCCTCTTGAGATTCTAGAAGCTCAACCATCCCACTTTAATTCTTGATTTTGGGGCACGGCGGGGAGCAAACCTGTTCACCCGACCAGCGACCTCTCGCGCGCTTGTGACTAAAAGGGAGAAAGGGAGGAGAGGGAGCGTGCGATGGCCTGGGTTTAGATCCCCTTTTCCGATGCTCGTGGTGTCCGTTGTCTTGCATGTTCCGTGAGAGTCTAAGACGTTCTTTCCCCCTCCAAGGAATCGGTCTGCGCTGTTTGTGAATCTGTGCTACCAATGGCCATGTTTCACCGCGGAAAGGTCTACAGCAGTGCAGGCCTCGGCTTGCGACAAGCATGATAAATTTGACCGTTGGCTACATCAAGCTCTGCTTTGTGTTATTCCGCGGACGTTGTGCACATCCGTGCAGATCGCTTGGGTGAATGTGGAACCCTCCAGTGTCTGATGAGGAGCCCAACGTACTAGAGGAGAAGAGGAGGAAACCGGTTCTTCTCTGACCATTTCCAGACCGGATTTCCAGAGCTGGAATTGGAGCGCTCCGATGTAGGCTCAGCCAGTGCGTATAGATACTGTCGGGGTAAATAGTAATGAATCGCCTCTTGGTTGCACCCCGGAGACAAGGAGGGGTAAATGACTACCGATTCTCTGAAGCGTAGGAAGGAGAACAGGGAGTGTACACGTAAACTGCTCTTAACCAGGGAATAGGGGGTATAGGATGTCTGGCTCTCTGACCGAGGTTTAGTTTATATACAATCCTGCCATCCGCCAAACTCCCCATTTTAGCGCGGCCAGTGACTAAGCAACGTGGGGACAGATGTCGTCATTGACGTTGGGACTTTCCGAAGCATCACCACAACTGGAAGGGGATTCTGTCTGGATCTCGAACTTTTTGGAGTGACACCCTCGGGTGGTATCTACCCTAGTCAACCCGATTAAGCTTCACCCAGAGCCAACCGTAACGTCTCCTTCAGTCCTTCCTCTAAGAATAATCCACTCCGAGTTCAACTAAACTACTTTGACTAGGGCAGGCAGACAAGGCTCCACCTCAGCGGTGTAACTCTTTCTGGTCAACGATGCCTATTGCTTCAGCTACACACCTTCGTAGCTGGAGCCCAACAGACTACTGTGGGATCTAATGCACCTCCTGGGCGCTGGCCCTTCTCCTCCCCCCTTGTGCATTGGATTCCCCTCGACTCAGTCCATCGACGATCGGGGACTCTTCTTAATGGGTAAGACTAGATGTGCTCGGGAATCCTGTGGGAGAATGGAGGGGGAGGGAGGGAACGAGGACCATTGGATGAGTCTTCCTGTAGGATGGAGGAGTAGGTTGTCAGTTAGAATACTAGTCAATTAGTTTTATCTGTAGGAGCCGTAGTTAGTAGTTTACTACTACTACTACTACTACTACTACTACCTAGTTACTATATAAGTCGAGTCCTGTATCGCCCGGAATTCTTTCCCCCTCTCCCTTCCCTCCTTTTCCCCCAAAATTGGAGACATTTTCCTGCATGTATCCTGCAAAGTAACTAGTTCGGGACTACTATCTACCTTGTCTGTGTCTTTCTTTTTCTTTTCCTTTGACTCGAAAAAGATAGAGAATTCTAGTGTACCAACAGTGATGGGTCCCAAAGTTTATGCAGTGTTTGACGTGGTTGTGACCTGAGTTGGTGGTGCCTTGGGTGCATTTCTCCTCTCTTACCTCTATTCTACCCCCGATAGCCTGGGCCCGGTGGAGCTGAGCTGGTGCTGGTTCCTTTTCCCCTCTTGCTTGCTTGTTCTTCCCGCCAGTGTCTGTCTGTCTGTCTGTCTCTCGCTTTCTTGCCGTCTTTCTCTGTCCTCTTCCATCTTGTTCTTCGGCTTCCCTTCCAACCAACGGGACAAAGTACGAAGAAGTGCCAACTAGCGCCAACTACCATCTTCATCTTTTCCCCTCCAAACAAAAACCACATCTACTGCTGGTATGTAACACCCCACGTTCAATTTGTTTTAACTTTTCTCTGATTTTCTGCTTTGATGGTCACTACTACCTGTCACGGTTGTCAACCCTAAATCTTTACCCGAGCTGAACGGCGTTGATTGATCGTGTTGTGTTGGGGAGGGATCCTTTGACTTATCAATCCCGAGGGAATGAATGTCTGGACCGTTCGCCATCCTCCCGTCACCACCACCACCTTAGCCTTTTTCCTTCTCTCCTTTTTCGTCTCGCTTTCTTCATTCCCTCTTGAAAACCCCTCACGCTACTCGCTCTACTCCACTGGCCATTCTTCTTGCTCTTGCTTTCCTCTCATCTGACACTGTGATTTTCCTTCCCCTTCCTGACCAGCCTATGTCTACTTTTTCGTTTGTGAGCTTTGCGCCAACGCGATTTGCGCACATTCGAGTCTGACGTCATTGAAGGTGTGGCAGCAGCAAACTTCCACGGCGCGCAATGCTTCGATCTCGTGTCGCCTGATCGTCCACTATCTGTCGCCGATTCATCGACTTAGCCATGAAGGAGTCGCTTTATGATCGCATCTGGCGCCGGGAATTGGGGGAGGACTCCCGGTTCGCGAGTATTCATGGCCTTTATGGATCCAAGGATTGGGTGGAAAACCTGGATATCGTGAACGAACTGGGTGGGCATTCGGGCTGTGTGAATGCCTTGAGGTATGATATTATTGCGCTACGTTTTTAAAGTGTCTTTTGGAGGAATCATTTTGTAGTGGGGGACCCTGTCTGGCGAAATGCATCGCTTCTGACGCTGCGTAGTTGGTCGCGGTCAGGCCAGCTTCTAGCTTCGGGCTCGGACGACCAGCACCTGAACATCTATTCCTATCAACCCGATTCTTCCACCGCGCCATTCTCCTTAAATACCACTGTCGCGACGGGCCACAGCGCGAACATCTTCTCGGTCAAATTTATGCCACACTCCAACGATCGAACTTTGGTGACTTGCGCCGGTGATTCCCAGGTTCGTATTTTTGACATCGAATACTCCAGCAATAGCAGCAACAGTGTCGACGCCACTTCTGCCTTTTCTGCATCTGCACGGAGCCGAAGGTTTAACAATTTTTTCAACAATGCGCGCTACTTGAATGCGGGGAATACCAACGTCAGAGTTTATCGCAGTCATGCCGATCGGGTCAAGCGGATCGTTACCGAATCGTCGCCCTACCTCTTTCTGACTTGCTCGGAAGATGGTGAGGTTCGTCAATGGGACTTGCGTCAACCATCATCCGCCTACCCAAAGCCACGAGGCGGCCAAGGATACATGGCTTTTCGACCAGGACAGGAACACGATGACTCCAATGTACCGCCTCCGCTGATTTCCTACAAGAAACACCGACTCGACCTCAATACCATCTCATGCTCCCCGAGCCAACCCCATTACATCGCGCTAGGCGGGGCCCACCTTCACTGCTTCCTGCATGACAGGCGCATGCTAGGTCGCGACTTGATGACGGAGAGGGGTGATCCGGGTGCCTCGCCTGGCAGTAGTAGTCACAGTGAACAGCTGATGGATCAGGCGACGCGGTGTGTGCGGAGGTTCGCCCCTAACGGTCAGCAACGAATGAAAACGCGCGATGACGGACATATCACTGCGTGTAAAATTAGCGACGCCAACCCAAATGAGATGGTTGTCAGCTGGTCCGGCGATCACATATATAGTTTCGATTTGATTCGGAGCCCGGATGCAAGGGAAGATGCGTCCAAGCGCCAATCCTCCGCCCGGACGACACCGGTCCCGCGTCGGCGCCGAGGTTCCAAGACGAGGAAGCGTAAGCGACAGAATGGGACTTCGATGTCCTCGCAGTCCAGCGGAAATCAAACCAGACCTCGTCGTCGACCCAGAGAGCGTCCCGATGAAGGCGAGCTGGCCTTCCGAGTCCGCTATGGGAATGGAGAGTCAGAAGACATTCCCCTCCCGTCTCTCACGGAACACCATGCTGAGGTCCCCCAAAGACTGCTGGAGCAGTCACGATTGTCTGTACTTAATGAAGCGCAGAAGCTCAGCATGCGCATCGCCAAAGACATGGTCAAGCTCCGTAAAGCAATGTTTTCACTGGAGACGTCCTTGCGCGAGGAATATGAAACCTCCAATCAAGCTGACCTGACACCGTTCACCGAGTCCTTTTCGACTGTACTAACCCTTGCTTCCATCTGTCTCCCGCAGATGGATGAGATAATGCGTACCTGGCGATACCCTGTCAACCCTACTCCCGATATTGTGCGCTTCCAGCAAACCTTGCGTCGAAACCGACAGACCTCCTGGCGGTTCATTCAAGCTGCAGGCACAGTCGCACGAGTTCTAGGGGGTGAAGTCCAATACACCCCTGGAGATGTAGATCGTGACATGGAACCTTTTCAACAGATACACTCGCCCCCGCTCGAACGCACGGTCGATCATAAGGAGCAGTTTGGTTACGACTTCATCAAGGCTATACTTCTCTTTGTGGAGGGTGGTCGGCAGGCTCTTTTGGCAGGGTTCAAGAAAGATGCAGCGTCCCGAGGGAACCTGTCTAGGTTTCCGATAGCCGAGAATGCGGATGAAGATGCGATTGAGTCCGTCTTGATTCCCTACCTGCAGAGACTGGCCGGGGACGTACCTGTTGTCAACGTGGACGCCTCGCGTTTTGAACATGATGACGCTCGTATTCTCTTTCCAACGCAGCGCCACGCCGTGGCCGCCTTTGCAAATGTTGTCAAATATCCAGTTGAAAACCTCGTAGATACGGACCCCACCATGCGCAATGGGACATCAACTGAACCCTCTAGCCGTACCCACGACTTGTTTCTGTTAACTCATTACTGGGTCTTCAAGGTGGTCCGTGGTGTCCTTCTGGAGACCGGAACCGGAGTAGATTATGCCTTTCTCAACCGGGCTTTTGGAGGCTTCCGAACGAGGGTGGAAAGTGACTCCGAATCCGAAGTGGAGCCCGAGAGATCCCAAAACGATCTCGAAGCTAATGTTGAAGAAGAGCCCATCCGTGATGTCAATTTGAAGATACTTCGGAGGTCGCATCTTGCCACTCGGGAGAGCTCGGAGGTAGAGACAGGCGAGTCAACGGGAATCCAGACCCCGTTGTCCGATGATGACGGCGAAGAAGAAGACGCTTTGGCATTGCCAGATATCGATGATGACAGTGAGAATGAGGTCGGCCTCCCCATTGAAGAGGAGGAGGACGAAGACGAAGATGAGGAAGATGAAGATGAAGATGATGAAGAAGAAGAGCTCGATCTAGACCTGAGCAGTTCTGCCGATGACAGTGACGACTCCGAGGCCGCCGATCATATATTCAGGGAGTATGGCCTTCAGCCCCGAGAAAGGGAGTACGTGGACGTTGATGTTCCCTGTTCCTCGCATACCCGAGTCTATATGGGCCACTGCAACATCAAGACCGTCAAGGACGTCAATTACTTTGGACTGGACGACGAGTACGTAGTGAGCGGCAGCGACTCTGGCCACATTTTCATTTGGGACCGGAAAACCTGCAAGCTAGTCAACATCCTCGAGGGTGATAGTGAAGTAGTCAATGTTGTGCAAGGTAAGAATTTCCCCAGCCATGGGCATATCAGTTGCTCTTATGAGGGTATTTGAGCCAACGGTCCTTTGCAGGTCACCCGTATGAACCTACCATTGCAGCCTCGGGAATCGACAACACCATTAAGGTCTTCTCATCCGACCGACGTGCTCAGGAAGATGCTCGGCGTGGTATCAACATCTTGGATCCTGACAACCCGGCCAACACGCTTGAATTTGGACCGAATGTCAGCACCATCGGTGGTCTGGGGAGTCGCAAGCGCTTGCATGATAGTTATCGGATCATGAGCCAGAACGATGTAGACCGACAAGGCGGAATGAGCGAAGCATACATTACTGTAGGTCTACCTCATCCAGGATCTCAGCTAAGACAGAGCATTGGGCGTATGTTAACGAACAAATTAGAGGCACATGCTGGCCCGCCTGGCGGCAACCTTGCGAGACCAACGGCACGGTGTAACGGTGGGCGAAGGAGGCGAACATGCTACGCTTGTTTTGGATGATAACAGCTGCAATGTATGTGCAATATGGATCCAACCATCTCTAACAGCTCCCCTCTCGGCTAACTAACTGGAATCCAGGTGATGTGATCTGACCTCTTTGACTGGACTTATGCGAGGGTGTCTCGGGCTGCCTACTACCCGAACTGCACCCGTTGACAGGATTCGTATTCTTTTCTCTTCCTCTAACCTCCAGCTTTACCTTCGTCGTTGTTATTAATAATAGATTCTAGCCCCCGCGTCATCATCCTGTGTCTGTTTCGCGGTCGCTTCCCAGCAGTTCTGGTCACAGCCCGTGCATCTCGGTTTTGGAGCAATGAGCCGGCGTTTTCTGAGGGCAAAAGCAAAGCAGTTGAATGAAATTATTGGAGACTCTTAGCAAATGTATAGCAGCAGAGCAGCGTAGCAGGTCGGCTTAGTCCAAATCATCTTCCTGACTAGGGCTTCAGATCTAGTATTTCATAGGTTATCACCACGTGACCCTTATCGATTCCCCCGCATTTGTCCCTCCAATTTTTGGCTTTTTTTCACTTTGCCTTCCATCTTCCCATCTTGCGTCTTAATTATCAACTTCCAAATCGATTGCTACTCGCAATTGAAAATGCAGGCCCTACAGGATCGGGCGGAAATTACCGCTCGTCTCTACGCTGACCCTCACAACCCACACCTGTACTACAAACGAGGCCTTGTCCACCAAACCCTGGGCTTTCCCGATCTCGCATCCGCCGACGCATACCGTGCCCTCTCGCTACTCGACTCAGTCGTCGATCCCGATGGCTGCGAGTTCCACGCCACACGGCGCATCCAAGATGGACCAGATGCTCCTGCGACAACTGAGGAGGACGACGATGATGAGGAGGACAATTTCACTCCCATCACACAAGAGGAGTACGACTCCATAATCGGGGACGTTTACGCCCTTCTCGTGCGCAGCCTGGTCGACTGTGGCTGTTTCCGCGACGCCTTCGAATTCTGCGTGCGTGGACAGGGTCTCCTAGAGGACATGCCACAGAACGAGCGCAACGCCTCCGCCCAAGCCGTGCTCAAGGACCAACTGGCCATCATCCGGAAGAACTACGAAGCCCGTCAAGGAACCACCACCGGAGACGCCAACATCAACCCCAGCGCTCTGAACGCCCAAGGCTTCGCCCGCCGAGTCCTCTACCCCTGGAACGAGCACGAACCGGACCGCAAGTCCCCCGAGACTCTGCAGCTCCTGAACGAGCGCCTCAAGACCGTTGCGCCCAAATGCGAAGTCCGCGCCGTCGCCTTGCCCGCTTTACACGGCACCACCACCACCGAAGACGAAGTCTCCGTCCAACTCGGCCTCTTCGCCAAAGAAGACATCGCCCCTAACGAGATCATCCTCCGCGAATCCTCCCTCCTCACTGCCACCAACCGCCTGCACGACGACCTCTGCGACGCCTGCAACGCCCCACTCCCCGATCTCTCCTCCCCCAATCCCCCCGTCGCGTGCGACGGCTGCGCAGACACCATCTTCTGCTCGCAGGCCTGCCACGACGACGCGCAGCGCATCTACCACGGCGCCGTCTGCGGCCTGATGGAGAACCTCGAATCCATCGGCAAAGACATCCCCGACCCCAAGGACAAGGCTGATTACCTCTACCTCCTTCTTCTGGGCCGCACGCTCGCCATGGCCGCTACCCAGGAACTGCACCCTCTCGATCTCCCCGAAGTCAAATACATCTGGGGCGATTTCCACGACCTCGACCTCGACAACAACACCAACGAAAACAACAACGAAGACCCAACAGCAACCCTCCCCTTCTCCTTCCAGCTCAACATCCTCCAACCAATGCGTCTCCTCGAAGAAATGGAAATAGACCCCTACGCTGCCCTCCCCCGCTTCGACACCTGGGTCTTGAATACCCTCTACGCTAAGTTCCGGGGCACTGCGTCGGGCCGGCTCTCGACGTGGGACGGTGGTCCGGAGCTTTGTGCTGTGCATCCGCTTTGGTGTCTGGCGAATCATTCCTGTGATCCCAATGTGAGGTGGGAGTGGGGTGGGGAGATTACGTTCCGGGCTAGGGAGGAGAGTGAACGGGCGGTTTGGAAGAGGGTTAAGGGTGGGGAAGATGGTGAGAGTGTGCCTGGGGGAAGAAGGAGACAGGAGGCGGGGATTAAGAAGGATGAGGAGATTCTCAATCATTATTGTGATATTGGCTTGGATGTTAAGGAGAGGAGGGAGTGGGCTAGGGGAGCGTTGGGAGGTTGGTGTTTGTGTGAGAGGTGTGTTTGGGAGGCCGGGGAGAAGTGATGTTATTTCCTTGTGGTTTGAGGTTTGATACACAATGAGGATGGGTTTTTGATAAGAGGAGTTGGGTTTTGGGGTTGGATAAAGATAGAGGTTCATATAGTGGTAGTGAAAGATAGATGGATATATAGATAGAGATACCCAGGTTGATATATAGGACAGGGGAGAAGAATCGAAGTGGATGTTATCATCATGTCTTACCAAAGAAATCAAACTATATGCGAGGTTAACCTAGAAGCAACGATAATCCCATGTCTCCCTCCTCATACAACTTGTATAAAATACAACTATTGTATGTATACCAGCCATCAATTCGTTCACTACTTACCATCAATACATACCATAGGTAGTAAATCCAGTTCTCTCACGACTATTACACTGTACGATATGATTCATGTACGAATACCATGCATCAATGCAATAAGTACTTATTTATCAATACATCCATAATGTACTAAAAGTAAAGGAAACCTTCCTTGAATTTCAAATCTTGATTTCAACCCGGTATAGAACAAACCAATGCCAAGCCCTAAACATATACCCTGCAAATAAAGTCCATCTAATTCCACCTTTCTGGCTTCCTATCACCCATTACATACATACAACTTTTTCCCACTCTAATCGCGCACCCGACGGGGAGGCGTCCTAGACGGAGACCTGCGTCGTCTGGGCGGTGGAGACCTCGACGGGGACAACGAGTCAGAGTACCGCCGACGACGAGGAGCAGCGTCGCCACGGCTACCACCACCGCGTGGCGGGGTAGGAGAGCGAGAGCGAGAGCGTGAGCGCGAGACAGAAGCGTCACGGGGAGCACGACGACTAGGCGGGGCACGACGGTCAGGAGTACGAGAACGGGATCGAGACCCGGAGACACTCCTTTCGACCCGCCGGCGGGGAGGAGGCGACCGAGACTCTGAGTACCGAGCGGCTCCTCCGGCCGCGCGACGTGGAGGAGGGGAGACGGATCGGGAGACGGATCTGGAGTAGCTTCTGTCTCGGCGGGCGTGGGTGTCACGCTTGCTGCGAGGCGGAGGGGTGACGGAGCGGGACAGTGAGCGTCTGGGAGAGCGGGAATCGTAGGAGCGATCGCGTGTCCGACGAGGGGGTGTGGGAGACACGGAGGATCTTCTGCGGGGGGACCGACTGTATGAGACGGAGCGTCGGCGGGATTTGGGCGCCGGGGATCGGGATCTGGAGCGCGAAGGAGTGTAGCTGTAGCTGCGGCGAGAGGATCCGGAGACGGACCGGCTGTAGGATCGGCCGCGGCTGACGGAGCGTCTACGGCCACGGCCGGGGGAGGGAGAACCGGAGTAGGAGTAAGAGCGGGAGCGAGAGCGAGAGCGAGGAGTACAGGTTGAGCAGCTGGTTGGGTGGGATACCACGGACTCGGAGTCGGAGTCGGCGCCGGCATCGCGTTGGGGCAATGCAGGCATGGTGGGCTTGGGGAGGTTCTTCAGGTGCTCGCGCATGTCCTCGGTCAGCATACCCATGCCGATGCTGGTGAAGTAGTTGATCGAGAAGCGGGTGTTGCGGGGGTTGTCCAGTGGGAAGAGGCCCTCGAAGCTGGGGCGCAGGATCTCGTCCCGCATGCGTTCCTGCAGCTTCGGCAGGCCCATGTGCTCTCCGAGGTCTTGGAAGAGGATCTTGATGAAGATACGGCTGCTGGATGTCGTCTCCTCCTCGTTCATGTGGATGATCGACATGACATGCCAGCCAATCGCGTCGGTGCTGATCATATGGCCGAAGAAGCGAGCAATATTGCGGAGTCGGTTTGTCTCATAGCGGTGGATCGTGTCGTAGTACTTAGCGAATGCGGCTTCGAAGAGGTCAGACCAGAGGCGGTTGATCTTTGCGAATCGTTCACCGATTAAACCGTAGAACTTCGAATACGTGCGCTCCTGAGAGCAACATTCGATGATCATAGACGGGAGCTCGGGCTCGAGGCCAGCGGGCAACGAGATCTTCATCAACTTGTGACAGCATTCTTCAAAGTCGATACTCGACATGATCGTCAGGTATATCGTCCTCCGCAAATTCACAAGGTCTGTGTTGGTCTGATCCTTGATATCCATCTTCCGCTCTTCCTCCGACTCTTCATCAGAGCTCTCATCTGACTCGTCTTCATCGTCCTCCTCGTCATCACTGCCCTCACCCAGAATCTCAGCCTTCAGCTTTTTGTAGGCCTCCTCGTGTTCCTCCCATTCGGCATCGTACTTGAAGATATTGAGGGAATCTTGCGTCTCAATCTCATCATCGAGTCCGATCTGGTGTGTGATCTGGTCCTCCTCCTCGATTAGATCCAACTCTTCCTTGATCGCCGGATTGTCCTTGTACCTATCCTTCCGGACCTGGAACAACACCTCGATCATATACTGTACTCGCTTATCGATGTCGGCTTCGTGAAGGATATTCCGGAATTGGTCAAACACCGCCAGGGCAATAGGACCGCTCATCTCCTCCAAATGCTGACCAACCTCTCGAGTCAGGCCGACGGCGATTTCAACACTGTCGTCTGTGGGCTTGTGAAGCAGCAACAGAAGAATCTGCGCGGCCAGCATCTCGTGCGCGACCTGCTGGTTGCACAAATGGGCAATGAATGTCGTAGAAGATATGCAGACTGCCTTGTCGTTTCTCTTGAACGCCTTTCGGAACTGGACAATGAGACGGTTAAGCAGCAGCTCGCCGACTTGGGGCAATTTAGTGTTGACAATAGCCGCCATCGCAGCGTAGATAGGTGTGAAGGGCAAACTGGCTGCCTGGGCTTTCATGATACTTCTGCAAAACAGACCGCGACCGCGCACCAAGTTCTCGCCAAAAAGCTCCGGGACGATAAACTTGATGTTGGAAACGTTGACCTTGTTGATGAGACCGTTGATCGACTTCTTGAGAGCCTCCCACGCCATCCGCTGGTACTCCTTGCTGGTTTTGTCCGTAATCTGCGCCTGCAGCGCCCGCAGTCGCGCGGGAGGGATATAGGTACCACCCGATCGCATGTTCAGAAGCTTCTCATATTCTGCTTTAGCTGCAGCCTGCTTTTCCTCCTCCGTCATCGGCTTTCGAGCAGCCTCCTGCTTCTCATGTTGGCGGAGGCGCTCCGCGAGCTGTCGCTCTCTTTCAATCGCGCGTTCGGGATCGATGCGCGGCGCATCCGCACCGTCTTTTAGTGAATCACCCGGGGGCGAGCGACGACGATTCGGCGAAGGAGACCGAGAGGGAGGTGAGCGTTTGCGGGAACCCGAGGCCTGAGGAGAGTAGGAAGTGCCTGGGGGCGGAGTAGGCACTCGCACCGCCGACTGCAAGACAACAGGGTCCGTCATATTCCTTTGCAGTCCACCGGGAAGAAATGGCTGTCAGTCGTGACGTCCGCAGAGAACACGACGTTGAACTGAAGCTCCATCGGGATGAGGCGTGAGGCGGCGAAGAAAGGTCTTAGCGCGTCGTCGGTCACGTGAGAGCTTAGTCGCCAGGCTGGCGCCGGCCGCTCTCTACTATCGCCATGGGATGAGGAAGTGCTAAACAGACCAGCCGCCATCATCGCAGCAATTGTCACGCAAAACTCTCTTGATAGCGCATCATCATTATGGTAAACCTTTCGCATCTTACCCTACAGCATCTGGAATGTTTGAAACGCTGACTTGAATTGCGCCGTAGCTGGGCTCTATCGTCGGATCCGCCATGCTCCTGGTCGCTACTGCGATCTTTCTCTACTACACCACCTGGACTCTGTTGATGGTACGTCTTCGCGCCTGGGTATAATTGCTTTTCTACAACACCTGCTAATATTGTTTTTTTCGCTAGCCCTTCGTCGACCCGGGTCACCCTCTCCATGATCTCTTCCCTCCCCGTGTCTGGGCCATCCGTATCCCCGTTTTCCTTACTCTGCTCGGTTCCGCCGTGGTTGGCACGTTCATAGGAATTGTGATGATCAACAGCAACAAGAAGAAGGCAGCTAAGGCTAAGGCCGCGGCCAAGAAGAAGACCTAAGCTCTGAATCAAAAAGAAAACCGACGTGGCGTTTGGAGGATGAGTTGGGTGGTGAACATGGCGACTCGAAACAGGTGGCATCATCTTATTCTGCATGTAACATTAATTTTGTCTATCCTTGTTCTTTTCAAGCTTTCCCCTTGATTGGGTTGTTCTGTCATCACAGCGTTCAATTACACCATCCGCATTCCTCGCATTCTGCAAGCGTGCCGCGTGGTGAGGTAGGAAGGGGGAGGCGACGGCAAATGACGAGTGTAGGCCAGATGCTGCCCGGTCACTGGGTGAAGCGTTCCTGGTTTCTCTTGTGCCTTACCCAGGGCAACAAGATACATGCTTAGCCGAGTCTATGCGTTACCTTCCAAATGGGCCATGGCCACCATGTAATCTTTCAGTCACGGGCCAGGTCTCAACCGATGACGATTGAGGGGGACCTTACAGACGATGGCAGTGCTCTTTCGCCATGCAGCCCCGTGACTCACTTCCGGCAACCAGCCACATCTGGCATCGGTTCTACCGCATTCCGAGCTTGAAACTATGTGATTGGTCTGAGACTATTGGCGGCTAGACCGTTGGGAAGGGACCCATCCAGGGAAACGGCCAGCCATGAATAGAAGGTCCGGCCCAACTCATTGCTCCAGTTTCAGTTCCAGCTGGGCCCTGGGACACACATGTTTTGTTATTTCCGGGTGGTGGTGGCTGTCTGGCTGCCGTGCCCAGGGCCCTCACGTGATGGGGGTGAGCCGTGTTTTGGACGTCGATAGTTTGCAGTGTTTGTTGAAAGGATACCCCTCATGCGGGCAGTTCAGCACCAATGGGGAAAGGCGCCCATGGCGTGTGTAAGAATTGTAGGTTCTCCGCCTTACGGGGTAATAGCCAATACGGTACGGTAAGTGCAGATCATCGGATGCCTCCTAATTCCAGGTCCCAACCCACCTGCCTGGATGGGCGGACGTGGGAGTCGGAAGTGGGAGAAGAGACACTGCAAAGAGGGGGAAAGGATCCATCCCATCTGCAATCTAGTTACTAGAGACCATGTATCATGTAGGAACCTTACCCGACTGCGTCATGTTATGACGGTCACGCCTGGCCGCATCCCCCACTAGTAGCCAATGATCACTGGAGCCCCGTCATGTGGTGGCCCTGGAACCTTATGGGAAGGAACGACGGGGGGGGTGGGAAACTACTAGGGGAAACTACCATGGACTTTGGGGGGGAAAAGTGACTGATAGGAGATAAGTCCGGCGTCGTAGTCAGCCTACCCATGGAGATGTCATCCATGCTCCTGACCTGATCCGGTTCCCCTCCCCCTCCCTCTTTCTTCTTCTCTCTTCTTCCCTTTGCTTGTTCTGTCGCCATAACAACTTCTACTTCACTTTAACCACTTCCCGGTTGCCTGTTACCTCAAATCTAGACGCGTCTGTTGATCCGTCACTGTATCTATCTGTCCCGACTACTATAAGTGGTCTACAACCTAGACAGGCGGTATAAGCAGTGCTTCCGACCTGTCGTGTTTACACTCCCACCCTCCGGCGTGTCCACGGATCTCCGCTCCAGATACGCTGTTCTCTCCGTTCATCCGGCACGGCCGTTGTATCTAAACTTCTTGCTACACCTGTTCCTCGGCATCTGTAGCACTGGAACCTACTGTAACTCCCCCTCCTGGAGCATCAGTCACCCGCTATTCTATGACTCTTACTGATAAGCCTTGCTCGACGATAGACCATAACTCCACGGGATTCCTCCGGCAGTGAATCCATACTACCCTTGCGAGTGTCGTTGCCGGTCGACCACACCGTCAGAACCTCCGTTCTCAGCCCGGATCAAGGGTTCTGAGAGCGGCTGTCCCAACTGAGCTCATATTGCCTCTGAGAGGCAATCCCTTTGAATGCCACCGGCAGCTTCGGACGATTTGTTTCGCCAGCAGAGCCGGTCCTTAGGTGACACCAGCCCCTTTCCTGAAGATCCCAGCCGAGCCACCTTGGAGCATGATCTCGGTGGAAAGACCAAGAAAAAGGGGAAAACCGGAACCAAGGGGAAGAATAAAGCAGCCAAAGCAGTTCCGAAGTCTACACCTGACGACCTGTAAGTCTGAGTCTCTTCCACGTGTCTAGAAGGATCTTGGCTCTATGTGGACAGTTGGCTGACTTGGGTTGACGCGTCGTATGCAGTCTAGAAGTAGAAGCACCATCACCGTCACCGCCTCTGCAGGCTGAGCCATCGTCCTGCCCCAATCCAACATTGGAGCCGCCACCTAGCAACAATATTGTGTCACCGGTGCTTGATGCCCTTGGCACTTTGGGGGATTCTCCGGAGAATGACATTGCTTACCGCACCGGTACATGGGCCAAGTCCATCCCGTATGGCAAAAGCCCCCCGAATGATGCCGTTGATGGCGAGTTCAACAGCGGATCACCTTTCGGTTTCCTCACTAGTCAAGACAAGGGCGGATTCAGCCACCCCTCTTCGACGTCTCCCCCTCCGGGAGCGAGGCCCTTGAGCTATGGGCGGGGTTACGCTACCAGCAGTGTGTCTAGACAGCACTCCGTGGACCGACAAAAGAGCAACTCCGTCAGTAGTCCATTCAATAACCAGGTACCCCTGCCGCATCTGCCGCAGGCCCATTTCTATGGAGCGCCGGATATCGATTTGCCTCTGTTCTCTGGCCAGAGTAGGGCCGCAGCGGACGGCAGTTATTCATTCTGTGCGTTCGATACGATCATCAGCCCATCATCCAAAGCCTCCAGAATGGGGAGTAGCGTTCTCCTGGTCGGCACGGATGGCGGCTTGGATGTTCTTGCCATCGAAGATCGAAAAACACGTCCTGTAGGGAAGTTGGCAGGTCTCAATGGCCGCGTAATCGAAGCAAAGTTGCTGAGCAACTCTTCAACTAATGACCAACCTCATGTCGCTGTCATCATTCACGGCCCCACTGCTCAACCAGATGATGAGGGTCATGCATCTTCAAATAGCTCGGAAGCAAACGACATTCCCACTGGGAGACAGTCGGCCGCTGGAGGGCGTCCGAAAGAAGAGACCAGATACTATCAGACACGGGTCGAGGTGTACTCGTTGAGGACGGGAGAACACATCACCACGCTTCTGTCCACGCCGCCCACTCCATGCTTTGGCAATATACCTGGTCTTCCTGCCTTGGCTCCTTCACCGGCCGGAAATCTGAAGCTCTTGGTGAGCGGAAGCTACGTTGTCGTAGCGTCAGGTTCCAGTGGGGAAGTTTATATGTACAGCATGAGCAAATATCAGTTCTTAGGAAAAGCATGGACCAGTATCAAGTCGAAAGAATCTCGGCGATACTCCACGTCTTCTAGCTCCACTGACCCAGATGGATCTCAGTCTGATTCTCCTCATGGATCTCTCAACTCTGACAGCCCAATCGTGGCATTGAAGGGGAGGTGGCTAGCTATTGTCCCACCATCCGCAACTTACAGGGCTACTCTCCGTGCGGTCGTGCCGACGTCCTTGTTGCAAGGAAAGGCCTTCGGGCTTGAAACTCGAAGTCCTCCGTCGCGTCCAGCTATAACCTGTGCTACTGATGTCGGAGAAGGCGAAAGCTTATTCGGCAAAGTAGCCCGGGGTGTTACGCAGGAGCTCATGCGAGGTGCACGCTGGATGGGTGATCAGGGACTACAAGCATGGAATAATTATTGGAATAAGGAGCAGGCTCAAAGCATGCCAGCCCGCCGGTCTCCTAATTTGACAGAGTTCTCACCTCAGGGGTACAATCTCTTTCCTCCCACTCATGCCCAGGACACCCAGTCTGTGTCCACTACCGAACCTGATTTGGTATCAATCTTCGATCTGCGAAAGCTAGACGAGGGCGAAGCCAAGAGCTCTTTGTTCAACCCAGTGGCCACTTTCCAAGTACCGAATGGCTGCAGCTTCCTTTCATTTTCTCCCAACGGCCTCATGCTATTTACTGCGAGTAAGAAGGGAGACGTCCAGTATGTTTGGGATGTTATGCAAGCCAAATACTGTCGAGCCGGGGCTTTCCTGTCAGACGACCCAGCATCTGTGCAGCCGAGCGTGCGGCAGGTTGCCCGGTACCCGCGATTGACCACATCCCATATAGTTGACGTGGTTTGGTGTCCGCCTTCTGGGGACAAGCTCGCAGTGATTACGGGTAAACCGACGGTGCATGTCTTTGATCTGCCTCGGAGCGCCTTCCAATGGCCTCCTTTTCGACGGTCGCTACCAAAGCCTGCGAAACCGCCTACTGCGGATGCTCCAACAGAAGAGCTTCCCGACCGGGGACCGGCTGCAAATCCATTGTCGGCGGCCTTCAAGATGGTCGGCGGTAAGACACAGCCTATTCTTGCTGCAGTCAGGGGACGTACTCCCTCCACCGGAGCTGCTTTCCCTTCCGTGGGTGGTTTTGCAATGCCTTCTGCAGCTGGAGTGAGAGGTGGCAAGGCGGTTGCTGCTGGCCTTAGTAAATCAATGGGAGCCGCCGCCACCGGCACTGTCAAAACGGTCAACACCATCCGACATGGTGGTGAACACCGCCTGCACCTTTCCAATCTGTCTCGGGACCCCGTTGCGGCTCGTGTGACGTGGATCATCCATAAAGGACTGCCATTCTTGGGCCTGATAGATGGGGGTTACTTCCGTCTTTACAGAATTAAACGCTCCACCTCGCCCAGTAAGAGTAGGCAGGTGCAGTCGGTGATCGGAAACAAAGAACTTGAATTCCGCTTGCCTCCCCATATGCAGACACCTTGCGGTCCCATGACCGTGGGTCCCGCCGCCACCACAGAAACAACGGTCTCTGCAACGTTGGCTCTGCCATCCGCGGCTCTACGACCGCCGCCAGCGTCGAAGCTCAAATGCCAGCCTCTCTCGCAGGCGGAGATCGAGACAAACACACCATATCAACCCTTCCACACTGACCAGAGGGTAAATCTCTTTGTGTACAGTGAGGCAGACGACTCCGTGGGGTCAGTCCCGACGGGTCAATGGACCTTCGGCGGCTCTCTAGCCACAACCAAGCTTCACGTACGACCATTCAGCGCCTCCAGTGAAGAAGACGATGATATGGTACATGAACAACACCATGGTTTGGGGGCTGAAATGGAGAACCTTATCAGCCTGGGAAATAGTACGGGCAATGTGGAAGAAGTGGTCATTACCACACGCAGAAAGAAGAAGCAGGCTTCAGCCATGGCCCCCGGCGGCGGGGTCGATGACGGTTTCTTTGAAGATGACTGCGAGGTCTTGGACTTCGCTCGGGATCGAGTCTAATTGCAATGACCACAATTACCATGCCGCTGGCGGGGCTCTATAAGATTTAAACTAATATGTCATATTTTAGACTTACATTGGTATGGCGTTGGTGTGATTGGGATTTAGGCTCGCTCATTTCCGCTCTTGCTTTGGTTGTGACTCCATACGAACCTCTTTCTGGCATGCATTACTGCTTCGCATGATTTATGGCTTGACGCAATATGTCCGAATGTCTCATGCCAAAGGATTTCCAAAATGCATCAAGGCGCCTCCTAGTCAAAGCAGAGACATGCGAAGATATCGTCATTTGGTTCTGCACGTTAGAGGTCAATGGCATTGGGATATGCTCTTCCTCACATCCGCACTTTTTGACTGCACTCGCTATCTGTTGTCCCTGATGCCAACCTTGTGTTCGCTGCGTACATGTCGGATATGCGCTCATTCGTTCTCTTCCTGCCCGCACCGCTGTATTTCGATGCATATTTCCGTGGCCATTCGATGTTACAATTGATGTTACATACCCAGTGCTGTTCTGTGAGCCAGATAGATGAAACCATGCGGGCGTTAATCGTAAAGTACATATATATATATATATAGGTGAAATAGACATGTGCTTGAGTGATAGATATGATGAAGGCAGTTTACGAGAACTATAAGGAGTTATCAGAATATTCACTACCAACTGGTAACTTAAGTGAACCTTTCAATCTGGATTCCGGTGCCACATGTCCATAGCCATCCTACCAAAGTCAATTAGTATCACTTCAATACTAGCTACCAATAATAGAAAACACCATAGCAATCCTTACTCATCAACAAAACAAAAACATAGATCTGCAGTGCACGATGATCATCAACAGCTACCGAACCCGAGCCCGAGACCCACCGAGGGGTGAGGAATATCAGTGGGTATGCGGGGTTTGAGTACTTGACACACCATATAGATTTCAAATACTATCACGATAATTAATACCGCGTATATTTACTACTCACAGAAGGTGATTTATGTATGAATCTTATAGTCTTGGATAAACAGGCTGAGCATTGCTTGTACTAGCTACAGAGTCGCTATATGTGGTTTATTGCGAACTGGGGAAATATACTTAGTTTAGGGGAGCTGTCAAAATGATTACTTGGGTTTCTCGGAAGAAGAAGAAGAAGAAGAAGAAGTGGTCATGCGAGTGAGTTTTGAATTAAGATAGAATACGGAAGTACCAGTAGAATATTAAAAATACATGAGCACTAGTAGTAAAATAAATCTGGTGTGAATGATAAAAGGGACAAGTGATCAAACAATTTCAAATTGGCCGGTAGGTATACAGATACAAGAAGATTATGAAGAAATGGCAATGAAAATAGTGTTCGAATCAAGTTAATTATTAACCCACGAGAGTATAAAGAAGTTGAACAGGTAGTGGTAGTAGTAGTAGTGACAAGTTCCCATATTAGCTAATTTCCTTAATTTCCCGTAATCAATCAATCAATCATATTAACACAGAGCGCTGGATTAAGTGTGCAAGTAGACAGATAGCTTCCCACCTTCCCTTTTCCCCTTCATATTGTAATCAACGATCAAGGCATAGCGTCTGAGCTCAATTACAGAGCCCAAGCAGCCAAGACGAATCCAAGCACACCGGCCGCGGAAACGCCCAGCTTGAGCTGCGTAATAGCAGCGGCGTTCTCGGTGCTGCTGGCGTGAGCACCAGTCGCGGTGCTAGTTCCGGAGGAGCCAGACTTAGAGTCGGAGCCTGTTGTTGAAGTTAATGATTAGTCAAGAAGTAGAGATGTATGGGGGAGGTTGAAGGTGGACGTACCAGAGCCGGTCGAGGAAGAGGAGCTTCCGCTCTTGGTGGTGCTGGCGTCGTTGGAGCCGGCAGTGGTAGCAGAAGAGCCCGACGCTCCCGTGGCACTGGCCGGGAAGAAGTAGCTGCTGTAGCAGCTGCTCTGGCAACTGGCGTAGGATTTCTGGTCGCTGGGGGAGCCGGAACCCTGGGGACAGGCGGCAACGCAGCTGGTGGTGTCGTTGGCTTGGGCGTTGTCCGGGCAAGGAACGCTGTAGCAGCTGGCGATGCAGCAGATCTCGGTTTCAGCGCCTGAAGATTGTTATTTAATTTTGCTCTTGGTAGACTTCTTTGTTGTGGTGTGTGGATGGAGTGTAGAGGACGCGGGTGGTTGGGATTTGCGAACGGGATTGGGAAAAAGGTCGAGAATGCAGAAGTGGGGTGGGGATAACAGCATTGGAAAAGGAGAAAGGAACTTACACTTGGCAGCGCAGGAAGCCTGAGGAGACAAGCTAGCAGTGGTTGTTGCGGCACTGGTAGTGGAGGAAGAGTCCTGGGCGACGGCGAGAGCCAGGAGGGAGGAGAGAGCGATAGCGCTGTTGAACTTCATCTTGACGAATGGATCGAGGAAACGACAGACGTTTGAGATTGACTGAAGTATAGAAGCAGGTAGCGAAACGAGCGCGACAGAGTAACACGAAACGAAAGACTGTGAGGGAGGAAAGGAAGAAGAGGAAGAAAGAAAAGGAAGAGGGGGAAGGCAGACGAGGTGGTGAAAGGGAAAAAGACGGGGTGTAAATAACGGGCCAAGGATGGCGAGGCGAACAATGGACCGGGGGAAAGTTGCCCAAGCGTATCAGGCGATATGCTGGGATTTCACCGCGCCTGGCACCAAATTAGGGTCATCCAGCTGTCGGTTCGCCAGTTGCGATTAGCGGGGTTTCAGCAAGCCGTCAGAGTCGCACAGGCTAGTGCGCTGGATTCCTCAAGAAGCGTCTGGATAAGTGGATTCACTGGACCGGAGCTAGTAATCCACACCCTTACATTTGGTGGCAACTCAATAACATCGGGAAGAGGCATTTAGCATTTACAGAGTGGAGGTGGACTTGTGGAGGCGCCATTCGTGGAGTTGGCATGATTTTTAGTTTGGAGCAGGTGCCTACGAGAGATGGTGGAGAGAGAGAACAGCGCGAAGCACAGTCCAGGTTTTGGACCCAGTCCTTCAATTTGGTGGTGAAGAGTGAGCAGCCAGTCAACAATCACAGACCCTGAAAATCTGGGGACTGCAAAAGGATCGGCTAAAAATAACCCTAGACATAAGAGGGAATCCAAGGGTCATTTCAAGGCACTAATTGCGCTACTCCAACGCTAAACCGGGTGATGCTAAGCTAGTAAGAGCTAGACTGTCTCCCACTAATTCCATATTAGTCCATCACTGTCCACCATCCGGTCTTATCAGTGGATGGGGTTTGAGACAGCGCATCCGAAAAGGTGGAGAGCACCCAGTCATTGGTGGGCTGATCTGTCAGAAAGTGTCATGCGAACACACTGGAATGCACTAGATAGATATCAGGGTAAAGAGGGTGGTTGGAGACTTTTGTCAAGTCTTGTAGTAGGCACCACGGTCAAGAATAGGGGCCGAACTATCAAGGGATTCTGTCAGATTCATCGACACTGGAATTGCTTTTTCAGGTCTAGTGTGCCTCGGGCAGATCCGACAAGCCTGTCCTGGCGAATCATTCTTTATCCGCTCAATAATAACGGCTACAGTACAACAACGAAAGATGGGGATGGAAAGGATCCGGAAGACTTTCATCCTGCCCATCACGTGGCCATCCTCAACATTCTTGGATGGTTACGAGGCTCAATTATTGACAGTCTGGAAACCTTGTCCGAGTTGGAGATTCTCATCAATGTCATCCCTATTCAATGATCGACTAATGGGCCTTATACTAACAGGTATTATACTGGCGCTATTCCTTCAGCATGTGCTGCCCCTTTTATACAAAAGCAAATACTCAGTCACACCTAGACTATAGACATTCTCTGAAAAGCCCGAAACTTGAGACTAACTTCGAGTAAGAAGTCATTCACCATCCTCTTGACTCACTATACTTCAGATATTGCTAGCAAGTCTATGTTGGATGGCGACAACAAGGGTTACCAGTAACTATCAATCAGGCTCACAGTTAGTATTGAGTCCTGACACGAATTATGAATGGGAGCCATCGGGGGGCTTTACACCAATAGTCTGCTACTGAACTCAGCTTCAATAGAGTTTAATTGGTGTTTGAGCTTGCAGTGAAAGGTCAATAGCTCTTACAAATTTTGTCGGCACTGTTTTACCACCAAAGCAATTCAATAGCCCGGCACATTTCATTCTCCGCGGGAGGACACAAAGTGGAGAAGCCTAGGGCTTTAGGAATAGTTGGTCGTAGTCACAATAGTTGGTGAATGGGGCATTGCAAGCTAGAATAGTTCTGCAGAGCAACTGGAGGAAAATACAGCCTAGCTGAGGATTTACCTAGAGTTTGGAGAGCACCTTCGCCGGTATAGTGCCACGTGCTTGAGAGGCCTTCTAGTAAACATCTTGATACCAGTAACCCTGTAAGAACATCACCCCCAGGCCTTCCGCATCCTAGAAAAGGCACCTAAAGACAACTAGAGTATGTCGAAGCCAAGAAAATCCCGGCCAGTTTTGAAACTCACGAGGTTTCACTTTAAGCGTTCCTCAGTCGGGTAATCAGCTTGCTGTATATGCAGGGTGCCTATCTGGCAAGGTAAGTGCAGGATGCAGACTGTACAGACCGACTGAATACTATGTTGTTTTTCCTATTCTCTAGTAGCTGGCTCTGTGGGATGCATGTCTACCCCTATTCACTCCTTTGATTTCATGAAGCTATAATTGCCGGCGGTCCTTTGTCATATTGCCCGCAAGAATGTGGAACCGATTAGAGTTCCTTTCAACAAGTAAGAAGAATTCTAGGCATTATCTCCTCTTTAGGTTTGCTATCCTCTTCTTTGAAACTTTCAGCTCGAGATCGACTTATGCTATGTCACCACAGCGCGATATCAAGGGTCGTTGAGTGAAATTTTTCATCGGTTTGGCTTGTTATGATGTCACGAATATCGCATGTCCAGTAATACAGAACAAATATCTGATGTAACTCCCCCAAGAGTCTCCATATCATTGTATTATTACTTTCTGAGCCAATGTGTGAGTTGATTCTATCCAGATCTCGATCAGGACTAGTTAGTATCCTTATCAGGCCTGACTAGACCGATTACTCACCACTTATGTAAGCTTCCTTATCGATAAGGA